CCCCCCCCCCCGCTGGGGGGCGCCCCCGAGCGCGGCACCGGGGGGGGGGGGCGGGCGGCGCTCGGAGAGGCGCGCCGCGTGCCGGCCGCCCCCCCCCCGAGGAGCGGCGGCGAGCGAGGGGCGCCGCAGCAAGGCGGGCCTGTCCCTCTGCAGGGGGCACTCCTCCTCCGCCTCCGCCTCCTCCTCCTCCTTTTCCTCCTCCTCCTCCTCCTCCTCCTCCTCCTCCTCCTCCTCCTCCTCCTCATCCGTAGCCATTTTGGCTCAAGATGGCGACCTGGGGGGCTGTCCAGCCTCCAGGCCGAAGGGAGACCTCTGGACCGAGGACAGTTCCCAGACGGGCGTCGGGCGCGCGCGCGGCACTGCTGCAGCCATGGGGAGTGGCGGCGGCGGACGCGGGGCGGGCAGCGCCTGGTCGGGGACCCCGAATCGCCAGAGAGTGCCCCCGTGGAAGAGGAGCAGCAGTGGCAGTCGCCCTCCTCGCAGCAGCTACGTGGTGTGTGACGGGTGCAGCAGATGGCGCTACTGCAAGAATATCACCAGCAGGGGCGACCTCTGCATCTGCGGCAAGAATCTCGCCTGCCTCGTCCCTGACGGACACGTTTTCCGTGACGAGGATGGTGGGTGGGTGGCAGCACAGCCCCAAGGAGGAACCTCGCCCAGGATCAGCTGGGCAGATGGTTGGCAGCCAGGAGGTGGTGCAGGCGGGAAAGGGCAAGGAGGCCAACGCCAGCCACCACCTCACGACAAGACCGCCGATCTCAAGGCCGCAGCCGCAGCAGCATACAGCAAGCTCAGCAAGGACGACCCGCTCAGGCAGCACTACGAGGCCCTCTGGCCGGAGCTCGCCGCAGCCAAGCCACCAGCAGATCAACCAGTCGTTGGATTCAAGGCAGTGGAGGCAGCAGCTCGGCGCTTGGACAAACTCCAGAAGAAGGTACGATCGGCAGGGGAGCAAGTGGAGAGTGCCCAGCAGTACTTGGCTGAGAGTGAACGCAAGCTTCGTGAAGCTATGGAAGCCTCCATTGCAGCAGAAGATGAGTTCGACAAGCTCAAGGCCACAGTCGGCAAGCAAGAGGCACCAGCCGAACCCGCAGCCGAGAAGCCAACGCTGGCAGCCCTCCTGGAGCAGTTCGAGCACGAGCCTGACGACTTCCACAAGTGGTCCGAGCCCGACAAGGAGGTCTGGCGAGCTGCAAAGGCCAAGGGCGAGCGCATGGCCCAGACGGTCAAGGAGCACGAGGAGGAGACGGCGAAGCACCTGCGACTTCTGGAGGAAGAGACGGCCAGGCACCAGGAGCAGCTGCGCCAGCTCGAGCAGGCCCGCACCAAGCGCCTGTCAAAGAGCGGAGAGCAATACCCAGAAGCAGCAGAAGCCCCAACCAGGCAAGCGTGTCTGCGCTGCCAGCCCAGCCCCTCAGCGAGGTGCCACCACAGGCGCTGAGGCAGCAGGGTCAGCTGCCGCGGCTGCGCCTGACGGCGCCGCAGCAGCTGCCCAACCAGAAGCAGGTGCAGCAGAACATGACAAAGCAGAGGAACGCCGAGCCAGAGTGGAGGCCCACATCCAGGAGGCGCGAGAGAAGGTCTCGCAGGCCAGGCGCGCCGAGACAGCCGTCGACGCAGAAGGGCAAGGTGACCACTCAGCAGGGTAGCCGCCCCAAGGCGAGCGCGAAGAAGGCTCGCCGCCCTTACCACATCGACTTCTTCAATGTCACGACCTGGGGCCCCCAGGCACAGGGCTACCTCATGGAGATCAACGACACCAAGGACAGGGACATCATCGGCATCGCGGAGCACCACCTCCGCCAGCCTGCGCAGATAGGCAAGGCAAGAGCGGCGCTCAGGAGGAATGGCATGCACAGCTACTGGACCAAGGCACGGCCAGGAGAAGGAGAAGGCACTCGAGGAGGAACGTGTGCCATTACGCGAGGATCCTTGGACGTCCAGGACAGGATCGCGGGCTTCGACGAGCACTACCTGCACGAGGACGGCAGCGACGTCACGGTGGTGATCTCCAACCTGCACAAGGTCCGCTTCGCAGTGGCCTTCGTCTACCTTGAGTGTGGGACGGGCTTTGGAGAGAGGAACGTCGACATCCTCTGCGACCTGCGGGAAAAGATGGCCGTCTGGGGAGGGCCATGGGCAGCGCTTGGGGACTTCAACATGACGCCGTCGGAGCTCAACAACAGCATCTGGCCCAGGGGTGCTGAATGCTCAAGTAGCAGCGGCGGAGGATGGCGCCCCCCGCGTGCTTCCCAGCAGGAGGCGAAGCCAGGTGCATCGATTTCGCGCTGATCTCGCAGGGCCTGGCGCCGTATTTTGACCAGCTAGAGCTGCTCAGGACCGTGCCGTGGAAGCCGCACATTGGCATCCGCTTGAAGCTGAGAGGGCGGCCTCTAAAGCTCAAGGGCAGGGTACTTCGCAGGCCAGCAGCCATAAAGCCACCAGTCGCAGTTGAGAGAATGCCGAAGCCCAGAGCCGCTTGCAGGCGAGCGGCGCGAGGAGGCCAGGAGGCCATGCGTCGACGTCAGCAAGCGTTGGCAGAGGCAGGATGCGACCAGGAAGAAAACGACGTGGAGCCAGTGCCGCAGCTGCACTACGACAAGGAGGCCCAGCACGTCATCCCTGACGAGCTGTGGCAGGCCACCTCCGAGAGGGTCAGCTTGCGTGTCTACGACGAGTTGCCCCAGCACTTGCAGCACACTGTCGTCGGCAAGATGATGGAGCGGGACATGCTGGATCTGGGGCAACAGTACGACCACTTCGCTAGCACACTCGAGCTCAGCCTGTGCGAGAGCATCGGCATCCCAGAGGAAGAGCGAGGACGTCATCTCGGGCACAGCAGGTCCCCGAGCTACAAGAGCGCGAGCATCAAGGACACCGTCACCTCTACGCCATGGGCAGGGGTTGAAAGGAAGATCCATGCGTGGTGGGCGGAGATCTCCTCCTTGGTGCGGCAGCTCTCGCACCACGATGCCCGAGCGCAGGAGGCAGCGGCAAGACGACAGGGCAAGACCCATGCACTTCCCGATGAGGACTCGGGAGGAGGACAGGGCCCGATGGAGTCGGAGCTTGGCCCCGTCATGTCGGGCAGCCAAGAAGGCCATGAAGAAGGCGACCCTGCACCAGCCCTGAGCCCATCGAAGAGCTCGGGAGGAAGCTCGGTGGAACGCTCCCCCACCGAGCGGGGCAAGGGCCCCCCCGAGCTGCAGCAGCGGAGCGCAGGCAGTGGAGGCGCAGCAGGAGGCGTCCCAGACCTCCACGTGGGGCAAACCCACAGCACCGCAGACAGCTGCCCAGAAGGGATGCAGAGGGGTGCCCTTCCCCCACCAGCAGGACGCAACACCATGGACATCCAAGATCACGACCCCTTCGAGGACGAGGAGGATTACTTGGAGTACCGCCAGGAGATCGCAGACCAGGAAAACAGCGATGGGTACCACCAGCACATCGAGGGGCAGCAGGCCAGCCTCGAGTCCAGCCAGACCGCTCGCCGTCGAGCCGATGGACCTGATTCTCACCCACCAGCAGGACGCTGCAACATGGACGTCCAAGACCACGACCCCTTCGAGGAAGAGGAGGACCGCTTCCAGAACCGCCAGGAGACCGCAGACCAGGAGGACCGCGATGGGTACCACCAGCGCATCGAGGGGCAGCAGGACGGCAACAGCTACGGCCAGACCGCACGTCGTCAGGCAGCTGGATCTGGTGAAACCGCCCCAGGTGACACGCACTGCTCACCTCCTCAGCCAGCTGGCACTCTGGAGGCAGAGGGTACCGATCACCTGAGGAGTCAGAACCAAGCGCCGCCAAGCCCAGAGGCAGACGAGCAACGAGATATGGGCCTGCCCCCTTCAGACCCCTGGAATGACGACCAACACCAGCGGGAGCGGGAAGACTACGTGGCCATGAGAGACGACCTGGAGTACTGGGCGGCCATCTGGATGGATAACTTGGTGCAGCTCCCCACGGACAACAGCAACTGGATGCAGATCTGTGTGCCGTTCCTGGAGACCATCCTGGGAGGCGGAGGCAACAATGGCATGGTGAGACTGCTCAGGCGTAGGTGCCAGCAGGCCGGCCTCAGCCACATCATCAGGGACCTCTGCGAGCGAGCATGGAGACATGCAGAACCACGACGCCGAGGCTTTCTCCAAGGACTTGCGCGAGAGGTGCCGACGAGGAGGCACGAATTGGAAATGATGCATGGGAGGAGGGAGCTCGCAAACCTGCGGAGGTTCATGCGAGAAGTTATAGGCGAAAGAGCACCAGAAGGAGCAGCGCGAAGACAACTACATGATGCTCCAGGTACAGGCAGTGGCCAGAGTAGCCGCCGAGAGCAGCAGGTCCGCACCCACAGTGGCCGCCAGACGCAGCAGCAGATCAACACAAGACAGCAGCTTGCGCAGCAGCTCAACCAGCCTGACCCAGGCAGGCTGAACGACGAAGGTGCAGCCAAGGACCAGCAGCAGGCCCTCCTCGCAGACCTGCACGCGATAGCAGAGGGCGCCCTCGTGGACCCAGGGACGATCAGCAGGGTAGCAGAGGAGGTAAAGAGCATGGCCAAGCTACTCACAAAGGCGGTGAAGAAGGCGTACATCCACTGGGTGCACGACGCCACGGCAGGCAGTGCGAAGATGGCCCACGCCTACACCAAAGCAGCGGAGCGCAGCCATCTGGAGGACATCCTAGAGCACGAGGGCCAGGTCATCAACCACCCGCAGCAGCTGGTGGACTTGCGCAAAGAAGCATGGCAACGCAGGTGGACACGAGGTGCGCAGAAGGCCGAGAGGATCCAAGAGGCGCTGGCCAAGCTGAGGCAGGCTGCCCTGGCCCAAGAGAATGCCCTCGAGCCCATCAGCAAGGACATCATAGGCTCCATCATCCAGCACCTGAAGAGCAATGCAGGCCACGGAGCGGACTGGTGGAGGGCTCCAGAGCTCAAGGCCATGGGCGCCCAGGGGCTGGAAGATTTCGTGCAGTGCCTGACCAGGTGTGAGCAACGGGCAGCCTGGCCGTGGCAATTCTACCTGGTGCTGGAGTTGCTGCTGGGTAAGAAGCCAGGAATCGGGGGAGAGCGGCCCATCGGCCTCATGCCCATGCCGTACCGCATCTGGAGCGCAGCCAGGAGGCCCATAGTAGCCACCTGGAGCAAGGCAGCGGCGGGCTTCTGGGATACGGCAGTAGCTGGCTCCTCAGCGCTACGAGTGGCAATGCACAGACTTATGAGGGCAGAAGCTGCCACGGAGATGGGCTTTCATGCAGCAGGAGTGTTCTACGACGCGGCAAACTTCTACGACAACATAGGCCTCGACCAGCTGATCGAGAAGGCCAGTGCCCTCCAGTACCCATTGCTGCCGCTGGCAATGGCCGTGCAGATGTACCTTGCGCCCAGGGCTATCATGGCCCACAGCCTCTTCTCGGACATCTTTGAGCCTGCCAACAGCATGGTAGCAGGCTGTGGCCAAGCGGTAGACCTCACCAGACCGCTCCTGTATGGAATCCTGGATGCAGCGCACAGGCACCACATCTTCGTCGTCATGCAGCAGTACCTGGACGACTTGGCCCTGCAGGTAGAGGGCGCGCGGCGGCAGGTCATTGACCAGATCAAGCACGTGGCGGCGCTGGTGCACGATGGTTTCAAGCAGCTCGCGATCCCCATCTCAGTCAAGACGGCAGTGGTGGCCTCGGACAAGGACCTCCAGGCAGAAGTCGCCAGCATCCTGGACAGCCTGGGCACCCCCAACAAGCAACCAGGGGTAGTGCGCGACCTCGGCGTGGACACCAGCCTTGGGAAGCAACTGCGGCGACCCACCCATGCCGCGCGCCAGGCCAAGGCCAAGCAGAGGGTGGCCAAGCTCAGGGACCTGGCGAAGACGGACGCCAGAGGCGCGGCAAAGGTCTATGCAGCAGGTGCCTACTGCCAGCAGGCTTGGGACTTACCAGCGCACGGCATCACGCCCACGGAGGCGAAGTTGGTCAGGGCAACGGAGGCAGCGCTCCTCACAGGCGGACACAAGGCTGGACGCTGCACGTCCACCATCCTCCTGATCCAGAGGGGTATGCAAGAGGCAGTAACCCGAGCCATCGGCGACCAGATCAAGCAGTTCTGGCTCACCGTAGTCGACCACCCGATGGAGCTCAATAGGTACCAGAGGGGCTGGCTCCTGCTCTACGCAAAGCTGGGCGCCCTGGAACCCAACCGCAGGTGGCAGCAGGTCAAGGGGCCTATGGCAGGGGTCATTGTGCAGTTGCTTGGGTTAGGCTGGATACCGCGACGCCTGGACAGCTGGATCAGCCCAGCAGGTGACGAGTGGGCCTACAAGCCAGATGACATTCCCCACTTCGGCGCGCTCCTGCATGAGGTCCAGCAGAGCGCGCAGCAGCAGCTCTGGCAGCAGGCAGCTGGCCATCGCAGTGGAGAAGGACTTAGGGCGGGAGGCGACCTCTATCAGCTGCAGCGCCACCTGAGAAGAAGGAGGCGAAAAGGACAGCATGCAGAGGCAGCCATGCTGGAGACCATAGCGGTGGCGGGCATCTGGACCAGGGAGCGTCGCAGGGCGGCCAACCTCAACCAAGAAGGCGATGACACCTGCGCGAGATGCGGCGAGGCGATAGAGACAGAGGAACACCGCTACTATGCATGCCCTGCCAACGCAGAAATAGGGCACAGCAATGACACCGACCTGGCGAAGAAGGCGAAGGACGCGCTGGACCAGCGGCAGGACCTGCATTTCTGGCTCCGAGGCATCCCGCCAGCGGCCTGGGCAGCCAAGGTCGACCCAGACGAGGACGCGGCGAAGGCGGCGCAGATCTTCTGCACCAGCGAAGAGGCACAAGCTGCAGCCCAGGCAGGGCACAAGGTGCGAGCAGACTATGTTTTTTTTTTACGGACGGCTCAGGTGGTGCAGGGGAAACGGCCAGGGACCCCCGCCTCAGACGCTGCGGCTGGGCAGTGGTGGCATTCAGGTTCGACGAACAAGGGCGTCCGCAGGAAGTGGCTGCCTGGCATGGCACAATCAGGGCACCGCACACGGTGCCACGGGCAGAGCTCACAGCCATGAGCAAAGCCATCGGGTACACCACGGCGGCGACAGCCAGGGGGCTCAACATAGTCAGCGATTGCAAATACGCCCTGGACGCACTCAAGCAGATCCAGGACCCTGAGGATCTGGACTACAGGAGCACGAACTACGACCTCTGGCTCCAGACGAAGCAGCAGCTGCAGAACAGCACGGACACCATCATGGGCCACCACATCCCGAGCCACCTGATCGAGCACCCAACCGAGCTGGAGAGGTGGAATGGTCCCACCTGGTGGGTCATAGGTAACGAGATGGCAGATAAGTACGCAGGCTGGGGGGCGGAGCACGGAGCACTGGATCCAGCTATCATCGTGCAGCAGCAGATCAGAGACCAGATCACCATGGCGGTGCAGAACCGGCTGCTGGCCATCAACATGGCGGTGACGGTGGAGGACCCCAACAAGGCCCCTCAGCGTCCAAAGGCCAAGCGGCGAAAGCCGCAGACGGCGAGGGACAGGGCAGCCCAGCAGGGACACGACCTGCGAAAACTACATCCGCGATGGTGGTGTGCAACGTGTCGCAGTGGCCCAGCCAAAGGACAAAGCATCAGAGACTGGTTGGCAGAGACGGGAAAATGCCTCGGGAAGTACGGCGGCCATCAGGACCAGCACGGCAACGTCAGGCTCGACTTCAAGGCGGTGCAGATCGGCACGCAGGTGGTGCACGGCTCCCACAAGACGCAGTACACCCATGGCTGGCTCTGGTGCGAGAAATGTGGCGGCACCAGCTACCTTGGGGACCACAAGAGCAGGATCGTGGCAGGAGTGGCAAGGAAGCTGGCAAGGCCATGTCAGCCCCCAACAGCAGCAGGGCGGCGAGTCTTGGAGGACATGCAGAGGGGCAAGCTGCCTAGAGGAGCTAAGCCAGCAGCAGACCCAGCTGATGAGGGTCTCGACGAGATCACCATGCCAGGTGACTTCAAGCTCGGCCTGAGTAACCACGAGGTGATCGACCTGGACGGGGACAGCTCAGTGGCAGGGGACCCGCAGCCAGCTCCGCAGCAGCCACCCAGCCATCCGTACTCTGTCGTCCACGCCAGCTTGAGGCTCGTCGACCACATGGAGGGCTACGCAGAGCTGTGGATGAACATGGTCGACCAAGAGGTCTGGGACGATATGGACGACTGGATGGAGCACTGCGTACCGTACCTCCTGGCCATCACCAATGTGGGTGGCAGAACGGACACGCAAGAGCAGACCAGGGCCGTCACCGTGCAGGAGACCCAGCAGATAAAGGACTTCTGCGAGGAAGTCTGGCGCAACACGCACCGCACGCGACGGAGGCTCATGACCAGGATGCTTACCCTCCCGTATGGCACAAGGCAGCAGGCAGCTAGAGTGCACATGGACGCCTTCCACAACAGAAGGAACAACATCATAGCGCACAGCATCCCCAGCAGTGAGCGCAGGCCGCTGCCGAGAACAGCGGAGGCCAGCCGAGAGTGGTCACCAGAGAACCTGGACGATGATGACTCGACCCCAGACAGTGAAGCCCCAGAGCAGGAGGGTGAGCCGAGCAGCCAGGAGATGGAGACCATGGCGGGACCTGATCAGAGGCACGACGCCAACAGCCTGATGCAGACGGCAGTGCAGGTGGCAGTAACGCTGACCAAGCCAGTGGGGCCCGACCTGAAGAAGTTCGTGAGCGAAGCTGACGAGGCCGGCTTGCTCCACCCAAGGCTACGACACAACAAAGGAGAAGCTGACCAGGACCCCGAGCAGGAGGTGGCGTGGCTCGAGAGGAACAGGCTCGAGCAGCTCATGCAGTCGCTGGCAGGCTGTTGGAGCCAGAAAGAGGGCGAGCTGGGCTGGCCATCGTGGCAGGCCGCGTGCGTGCCCCATGTGCTGAGGGCGCTGCAGACTGGCGTCTATCAGAGGCTTTTCAGCCACGTGTCAGGGACGAGCCGCCAGCGCAGCCAGCGCCGAGCGGCGGAGGAGATCTGCCGCCTGGCATGGCTCAACAGCGGAGAGGAGCGCAAACAGATCCAGCAGCAGGACCCGAAGGAGGCAGAGCGGCGCAGAGCAACGGCTGAGCAGATCCTGGGCGTGACTGAGCCAGAGGTGAGGAGCCGCAGCCCGCGACCGCAAGCAGCAGGGCGAGTACCAAGCAGGGCTCCAGCCAGACAGCCGAGGAGGCCCCTGTGCGGAGAGGGGACAGGCCACCATGGACCCCTGCGCGGCGAGGGGTTAGGCCGAGGAGGACCCCAGCGTGGCGAGGGGTTAGGCCACAGCCCTGCGCCAGACGGGATGCAGAGGGGTGCCCGTCCCCCACCAGCAGGACGCAGCACCAAGGACATGGCAGACCTCGACCACTTCCCTGAAGAGGAGAACAGAGAGGATAGCCCCCAGCAGGCCGCAGACAAGCAAAGCAGCGATGACAACCACCAGCAGTTCCCAGATGTACAGCACAGCATAGGGTACCACCTGGCAGACCTCAGAGGACCCCAGCGTGGCGAGGGGTTAGGCCACGGAGGACCCCAGCGCGGTGAGGGGTTAGACCGCAGATCCAAAGACAAGCAGAGGATCGAGGCGGAGGTCCCTGACGAGCCCAGTGAGCATGACGCGGACGTCTTGACCAACAGTGTGGTAGACAGGACCTCGCAACTAACAGAGCGGACCCATACCCTGGGAAACCGACAGACTGAACGCGAGGGGGAGGGCTTGGCCCGCGGATACCACGTGAACCGCGAACACAGCGAGTGGCATAGTCGGGGGACCTCGCCTGAGCCAGTGGGCAGCAGCACCGAGGATGGGGACAGTGCGAGACTCGGCGCTCCCCAGCGTGGCGAGGGGTTAGGCCACAAAACAGCGCAGCCTGAGAAGGCGGCAGACTACGACGACACAGACCTGCAGCGGGACTTGAATAAGATCGTCGGCGACCCTCCCCAGCGCGGTGAGGGGGTAGACCGCAAGGCACCCCTGCGTGGCGAGAGGTTAGGCTACGGAAATCCCCTGCGCGGTGAGGGGGTAGACCGAAGGACCAAAGGCAAGCAGCGGCTTGAGGCGGAAGCCTATGACGTGCCCAGTGAGCAAAACGCGGACGTCTTGACCAACAGTGTGGTAGACATGACCTCGCAACTAACAGAGCGGACCCAAACCCTGGGAAACCGACAGACTGAACGCGAGGGGGAGGGCACGGCCCGCGGATACCACGTGAACCGCGAACACAGCGAGTGGCAAAGTCGTGGGACCCCGCCCGAGCCAGGGGGCAGCAGCACCGAGGAGGGGGACAGTGCGAGACGCGGCGTACCCCCGCGCGGTGAGGGGTTAGACCGCAGCAGGCCCCAGCGTGGCGAGGGGTTAGGCCACGGAGTACCCCAGCGCGGTGAGGGGTTAGACCGCAACGGTCCCCAGCGTGGCGAGGGGTTAGGCCACGGAGGACCCCATAGTGGAGAGGGGTCAGACAGCAGCAGGCCCCCGCGTGGCGAGGGGTTAGGCCACAAGGGACCCCAGCGCGGTGAGGGGTTAGACCGCAACAGGCCCCTGCGCGGCGAGGGGTTAGGCCACGATGCACCCCGGCGCGGTGAGGGGTTAGACCGCAGCAGCCCCCAGCGTGGCGAGGGGTTAGGCCACGATATTCCCCAGCGCGGTGAGGGGTTAGACCGCATTGACCCCCAGCGTGGCGAGGGGTCAAGCCACGATGGGCCCCAGCGCGGTGAGGGGTTAGACCGCAACAGACCCCAGCGTGGCGAAGGGTTAGGCCACCACGGAGCACCCCAGCGCGGTGAGGGGTTAGACCGCAACAGGCCCCTGCGTGGCGAGGGGTTAGGCCACGGAGCACCCCAGCGCGGTGAGGGGTTTAACCGCAGCAGCCCCCAGCGTGGCGAGGGGTTAGGCCACGAGTTTCCCCAGCGCGGTGAGGGGTTAGACCGCACCGACCCCCAGCGTGGCGAGGGGTTAGGCCACGGCGGACCCCTGCGCGGCGAGGGGTTAGGCCGCAACGCGCCCCAGCGTGGCGAGGGGTTAGGCCACAGCTCTGCGCCAGGCAGGGCGGTCGAGAAGGCCCATGAGTCCAGGGACCAGCAGCCAGGGCGGTCCCTGGAAGAGCGCAGAGCGGAGGAGCGGCTGCGGCCGTCCATCAGGCTGCTCCTCAAGCTCTGAGTGGGCGGCGGCAGCATTCTTCAGACTGCCGCTGCTCACGGGGCGACTCCATGAGTCACAGAGTGGCGGCAGTAAGACGCCGTGAGATGAGGCCGCTGGCCCACCCCGCCTCGGGCCGTTCAGCCTGCGCGGAGTGACGAGACCAGGGGCACCCACTCACGGGCGGGAACACGCGGGTTTAAAAAACTCCTCTTCCTCCTCATCCTCCTCATCCTCCTCCTCCTCCTCCTCCTCCTCCTCCTCCTCCTCCTCCTCCTCCTCCATGTTCACAAATCGTCAAACGTGCGTCTGGGGACTATTGTCCTGTACCATTGCTGCATATGTTGGGTGCATGTTGGGGGTACGTTTTAGTTTTCGTCCCAAATCCACCTGTAGGGGGGCACGCCCGACCTAAGCGTAGCATCGCTCGGACGCGTGCGTTGTTCCTCGGCGGGGACCATCGAGGAGCACTTAGGGTCATCGAGAACCCCCCCAAAAAAAAAACAAAAAAACAAAAAAAAAAAAAAAAAAAAAAAAAAAAAAAAAAAAACGCGGAATCGAAACATGCACTGGGAATGGACGTCCAAGCGATGGCCAGGGGGGGCAGTGAGGAGGAGAAGGCCTTCTCAGAAGGCCGCGGTGCTGCCTTGTCTTCGCGAGGAGGGCTTCGAAAACATGTTCAGGAGGCACTTCCGAGCCTTCTGAGAAGGCCTTCGCCTTCTCACTTCCCCCCCTCGCTCGCGGCCGAGAGGAGGCCGCGCGGACCTCCGAAAGTCGATGCCTGTGCTTGGAGTCGAGTCGCCTGGGGGTCCGAGGTGGCCCCGCTCTGGCTCGGGCCCGCAGGGAGGGCGGGCACGCTCGCAGCGCTGGGTTCGAGAAGGTATCTTGCCTTGTTCGGCCTCCGGGGGCCGTTTTCGGGCCCCGGGACTGTGAAAGACGGATCTGGTGTTAGAAATTACACCAGTCGGGCCCCCGGAGGGGTCCGGGAACCGATTTTGAGCGGATTTGGCTTCGGGACTGTGGAAAACGGATCCGGTGTGAAAAATTGCACCAGATGGGCCCCCGGAGGGGTCGGGGAACCGATTTTGAGCGGATTTGGCTTCATCCCACTGCACCTCCTGGCCGATTTTCTGGGGTCCCAGCCAGTTCAGAACCCGAGGCCGCCTCAAAGCTTGTGCAGTCTTTTTGTGTTGCTCTTCCGTCATCCTGCTGACGGTGCTGGTGGGGGGCGGCTTCTACCTCATCGCGGCCCCGCTGGGTGCGCCACGGGATGGGGGGAGGCTTTCCCTATTTGCGGTCGTCGTCGTCAGCGTCAGCGTCGCCGTCGAGGGAGGACGGCGACGAGTAGGAGGGGGCGAGGAGGGGGAGGAGGAGGCAGCATCCCTGGAGGAGGAGGAGGAGGAGGAGGAGGAGGAGGAGGAGGAGGAGGAGGAGGAGGAGGGGAGGAGGTGGCAGCATCACTGGAGGACTGAGATGCCAGCAGCGTCAGCGTCCGGGGGATAAAAGGAGGAAGGTGGGAGAAGGAGGAAGGGCCCCGCCCACTCCCGCCGCCCCTCCCGGCTGGAGGGCGGGGGGGGCGCGCGCGCGCACGTCCCCGCCTCCGACGACCCAGCGAGGTGAAAAACCCACGGCGGCGAGCGAGGTGGGGAAGCGAGAAGGAGAAGGCTCTCTCGGAAGGCGGCGTGGCTTCTCAGAAGCCACCGCGCCATCTGAGAGAAGGTTTCGTCTGCTGTCTTCTGGGAAGGCCTCTTAAACTCCTCAGCGGGCCGGGGGGCGTCCGAGCCTTCTGAGACGGCCCGCCGCTTCTCGCTTCCCCCCCTGGGCTCGCCGCCGAGGGACACACACAAAAGAAGAATGCGCGACGCCTCGCCCCCTGCGTATCGCGCGCCGCCGGGTTTCCGCGCACGCTGGCGAGGGCCACGTAGGGTTAAGCCGGGCGTGTCCCCTACAGGGGGATTTTCGACGACAAATAAGAAATACCCCAAAAATGTGCAAAAGGGTCAAAAAAATTTAAAAAATAGTCCCCAGGCTATTTTTGTATTATTTTGAGGCTATGCGGGGGTATTTTTTATTTTTCGTCGAAAATCCCTCCGTAGGGGCACAGGCCCGACTTTCGGCTGGGGGCATGCTCGGCGCCGTGGAGGGATCGCCGCGCCTTCCGGCGGGGTCCGCGAGCGCGCCACGTCGCCCGGTGGTGGAGGAGGAGGAGGAGGAGGAGGAGGAGGAGGAGGAGGAGGAGGAGGAGGAGGAGGAGGAGATGGAGGAGGAGGAGGAGGAGGAGGAGGAGGAGGAGGAGAGGAGGAGAGGAGGAGGAGGAGAGGAGGAGGAGGAGGAGGAGGAGGAGGAGGAGGGGGAGGAGAAGCGGGAGGAGAAGGAGGAGGTGGAGGACGAGGATGAGGTCGGGTGCTGCTGGAAGTTCCCCTGGCCCAGGGTGCCCCTCGGGATTGCCCAGGATGCCCCACACGGCCTCCAGAGCACCCCATCACGAAGCTCCGGGGGGCCCCAGGAGCTCCGGAATGGAGCAACAGTCTGCTGGCAACGCACGAGAAGGCACCCGCGCTGCGCGCGGCCCCGCGCGCGGGCGCTTCCGCGTCGACGAGACACCCGCGCGCGCCAAGCCCGCGCGGGCGAGCAGCCCAAGGCTGGGCTCAGGGGCGAGGCTTCTGCACCGCTCGACGTCGCGCCGACCCGTTGCGACGGCGCGCGGTCGCAGGTTGACCAGGGGGGGCAAAACAGACACAGAGACAAAGAATCGTCGATGCCCAGGGAAAGATTGGAAAACGTGGGCGGTAGTGGGGAAGAGGAAACTCCAGGCAAACATTGGAAAATCATTATGTGGGATCCGGGGATCTGTGTCTATTGCTTTGCCTGTGTGCCTGGGGGGGGTGCCAGGGGACGGTATGCCAGGAACGCCCCGAAGGACTCGCCCGGGGATATGGCAAGGGACGCGGCAAGGGACGCGCCACCGAACGGGCAGAGGAAGCGCCAGAGGACGAGCTTTCGGACGCGCCAGAGGACGAGCCAGGGAGCGCGCCAGCGGACGTGCCATGGGATGCGCCACGGAACGTGTCGGCGGACGAGCCGCAGCAGTGCCAGAGGGCGTGCCACGGAGCGCACCCGGGGGACGAGCCACGAGTCACCTTTTTCTGCAAGTCTCCTCCGCCAGCTCCGTGCTCCCCGGGCCACGACTCCCCACACATGTGTCACTGGATCCGCGCCCCAAGAGGCTCTGGGTCCGCGCTGCCAGCGCCACGATCCATCTTCCAGGGTACACTTAGAGTCGCGCTCCAGGGGCCAGAATCCCTGGTGAATCCCACCACGTCCGCGCTCCGAGGGCCACAGTCCCCAGAGCATCACGAGCTGCGTCCGCACTCCCACGGCCAGGATCTCCTCTGAATGGCGGTGCGGTCGAGCTCCCGAGGTCACGGTCCGTACAGTCGGGGCCCTGAAGAAGGAACCTTTTTGGTTGGGGAGGGGCTCCGCGTTCCTTAAGTGTTTCACAGCTTGCCTCAGGTTTCCCTTATGTTTTCGATCGGAAATCGAAGTTTAACTTATGGCAAAAGGGGCCTCGTTCCTTCTTTGGGGTTCCTTAGGTCAACGCCCCGACTGTAATCAATGTTGTTGGCCTCGCGGTCCCATGGCCACGATCCACGCAGTGAACTTGCGCTGCGTCCGCGCTCTCCAGGGGCCAAGACGCCCAGTCAAGCGCGCCGCGTCCGCGCACCCAGGGCCAGGATCCCGAGCAAGTCGTGGAGGGTCTGCGTTTCCATAGCATCCGGGGGCAAAGCGCACGTGTTGCACTACATGGGGGCCGTGGCCCTGGGCAAGCTACAGCCGGGGCGCTGAAGAAGGAACCCTTCTCGTTGGGGAGGGGCTCGAAGTTCCTTGATTGTTTTACAGTTTGCCCTGTGTTTTCCTTGGGTTCTCCTTGGGAAATGGACGTTTATCTAATGGGAAGAAGGGGCCTCGTTCCTCATGTAGGGTTCCTGAGGTCAACGCCCCGACTGTACCATGATATGTGAGCGTGTTCGCGAGGCACCAGATCGGGAGGAGGCCCCAAATCTGAAAACCTTGGGACAGATGACCGGCACCGGAAGCGAGAAGCTGAGGACCGACACGTGCATGCTCGAAAGCCCTTCGTCACGGCCTGGTGGCCCCCGAAAATGGGGGGCCGGCAGAGCAGCGCTAGCAGCCCCGAGCGACAGTTTCAATGAGCCGACGCGTAGGACATGCGCGTGTCAGAGTATGTTTGCACGAGCGCGTCAGAGTCTCGCGTGCATGCGCGTCACGGACAAAACTGTGCTGACCATCGAGGAACCAACGCCTCCTTAATTCTTGTTACTCGGCGTCTGTCCAGCAGCTTCCAGGGAAGGTGGCCCCCAGTCTCTTGACCGGTGCACGCGCACGGGACTGTACGCGAAAGGTCGGATCAGCATATTCTGATGCACTTACCAGAAAGTTGGCCAGACATACTCGGCACTATATCATCATTGAGGCCTCAGAGCAGGAGTCACGGCGGGCCCCACGGGGAAATCTAGCACACGAATCTCCGAATCGGTAAGTGTTCGAGGGCATTCGCGCGTGACTGAACGCTTTCGCCCGTCTTAGAGCTCCCTTGGAGACGTGTTGGACCTTCTTGGGCCTATATTGAGCGCTCTGGGGCCTCTCGTTCGACCCCGCGGGGCCCCAAGAGAGCCCAACAGCGCCCCATAACAGCTCCTGGAGGGCCCCAAGACTCTTGTGCCCTAGTCCGTGCTGTCCAGGTCCCTCATGTATCTTGCCCGATGCGCCAGCGGATTTCCGCACCCGTGCTTTCATTCCACACTAATGTGTGCACGTGTGCTTGATTCTGCGCTGGTTTTCGCCATATCGTACTCCAGCCTGTCCCGTGCCATTAATTCAACGCTGCAGTCCGCCCCCCGTGCTTAGTTGTATGGTCGGTCCTCGCTCTTCCGTTTAGTGACATGTTAGGTTATGATCTTTGGCCCCGTGATCATTTCCATTTTGGAGCCCGCCCCACCTTGTTTTTCCCGAGCCCTCTTGTGAGTTGGGTCCTCGTGTTGAATCCGCAGCGCCGCGCATCTCTTCCCTTCCTTCTTCCTTGTCTCCCTCCCTCTCATCCGCCCCCCAGGGAGCTCCACCGAGGGCCCCCGTGGGTGCGTTCGCATTGCGTTACCCCACCCATTTCTGTAACCCCATCGCTCACATGTCCTGCCCCCCAGGGAGCTCCACGAAGGGACGCAGTGGGTGCGTTCGCATGGCGTCGCCATGCCCATTTCGGCACGCCCTTCAGGTAACTCCGGCCGCAGTGGATGCGTTCGCATGGCATCGCACCGTCCATGTCGGCACACTCCTCACACATGTCCTGCCCCCCCCCCCATCCACCCTAAACCCTCACATGGGGCTTCACCCAAGGCCCAAACGGGTACGTTCGCATGGCGTCGCCCCGCCAGGGAGCCTCACCGAGGGCCTGAGCGAGCGGGTGGGTTTGCATAGCGTCGCCACGCCCTCCCATTTCGACACATCCCTCACGCGTATCATGCCCCCACCCCCAAGGGAGCTGCACCGAGGGCCCGCAGGCATGCGTTCGCATAGCGTTGCCCTGCTCGTTTCGGCAATGCCCCCGCGCGTTTCGTGGCCCCCCAGGAGCTCGACCGAGGGCCTCAGTGGGTGCTTTCGCATGGCGTCGCCCGTCCGAATTCGGGACACAGGAGGAGGAGGAGGATGAGGAGCAGGAGGAGGAAGAGGAGAAGGAGAACGAGGACAAGGCGACAGTGGGGGAAGAGGAGGAGGAGGAGGAGGAGGAGGAGGCCCTTGTACAATTCCTCCCCCCACCAGGGGAGCTCCACCGAGTGCCTCGCCCGTCGCCTCACACTTTCCCTGCCCCCTGGGGAGCTCCACCGTAGGGCCTCAGTGAGCGCGTTCGCATAGCGTCGCCTGGCCATTTCGGCACACCGCTCACACGTTTCGTGGTCTTCACGTACACCAGTCGTCATTTGCCGCACGTTGTTCCAGGGTTATGTTTCGAATGTCGTCACTACCGAAAATCTAAAACACGGGCGCCACCCTTATCATACCAGACACACGTCCTGCTCCGCGTCGCGTTCATCGTCGTTCTCCCCATTTGAGTCGACCTGTGAGAGTGCATGCGCGAGTTGGGGATTGTGTTCGCGGTCTGACCGAATGTGGCGAGGTTGTCGGGGACCTTGCAGATCCTTCATTTTGGTCCTGTGAATTGAGCCGTCTTGTTTAGAGTTGCCATTTGTTTAGACAGGGTTGGGTTCTTCGCCAGGCCAGTTTGTTGTTGTCCCAGCGTGCTCGTAAGCGTGTCATTCCAGTTAGTCGGTCAAATGCGCGCTCAACGCGGGCCGTCGCGATCTGCCCCCAATTTGAAGACACCTCATGCAGGGCACATCCACCGAAAGCATCTCCTGCCACCTCGGGCACCTAGGCACCCCGTAAACGACCATCTGAGCCACAGGAAGCAGTTTCAAGCCACCTAAGTTCGTTGAAAGCGATGTTTACCCATTGGAAGCCAGGAGACATCTGGTGAATTCGCCCCTCGTGCTCAGGCTTGTGGCATTGCGCCGTCCTTCTGTCTTGCATGTGGAATGCCAGTGTTGTCTTGCCACTTCACTTCAAGCAGTGCATTCCAATCATGAATTCAGTGCCATTACATGGCCTTGAAAAGCATACCAAGCCACTTCGCACAGTTTTGTGCTACGCAAGACTTTGCATGTAACTTAAACACACTTCCGTCACCTTGCTGGTTCAAGCAGCCCTGATTCAAGAATGTTGTCCGAGATCTAAGATGCCCTACGAGCGCGTCCTCGTCCCTGCGACAGCGGTCATCAGTGTGCGAAAATTGGGGGAGCATTTGGTGCAGATTGTCGCCGACACCTCCACGTATCGCCGTCTTTCCGAAGCAATATTGTCTTGCGACAGAGTCTTGGAGATCGGTTGCAGCTGGGGGCACTGCACAGAGCTGTTGGCCGCCCGCGCCTCTTCTGTCGTGGCGCTGGATTGCTCCAGAGAGTGTGTGAAGACGGCATCTGCAAAGCTTCCTGGCGTCCGTTTCGAGCGAGTCGACCTTTTGGCGACCCCCGCCTTGCTCGCTACACTGACATGCGCACCCAGGCCAGCTGACAGTGGTGAAGACACTCGTGCTTCAGTTGCTGGCTCCATGGACTTGCGCCACTTGATCGGCATCGGCTTGGTCCCGGCGGCGATCCGGAATCCAGTCGGGCCGAGTGGTCGCGAGCATCAGGGCTTCACATGTGTATTTGTAGACATCGGGGGAGTCCGTTGCATCGAAGATGTGGTGTCTGTGTTGGCCTTGGTCGAGATGTCACTCGCACCGGAGCATATCGTTGTAAAGAGCGAGCGTCTGGCTGAATCTCTCAAGACATACACTGACACTTGGTGGGCTGGCTTGCTTTCGACTAGATCTGATCTTGCAAGACAAAAAGGCAGTCGGCGCAAGGTTCGCCACCCTCTGGACGATGTGCTACGCACGCCACAGCGAGAAACTCCAGAAGGGCGAGCGATATGCAGGTTCGCGAATTACGGCATTTGCCACAAGGGTCAATTATCGAATGGCCATCGGCCTATCCCGCCACTGTGCCTGGGTTGTGGGTCATAGGGCTCCAGGACGTTTGTTGGCGTGTCGCGGGAGGCCTCTTGGGGGCCGTCTTGAGGCCTCTTGGAGGCTGCTTTTGGGGCTGATTGGGCGGCGTCTTTGGGGCCGCTTGGGGGTCTCTTGGGGCCTCCCTGGGGGCCTTCTCGGGGCCTCCTGGGGGGGGCCTCCTGGGGGGGCCTCTGGAGGCGGAAGGCTCGGATGTTCGACTCGTGCTCTGCCCCTCCTGAGCCCTCCTCTGGGCCCCCCCGTGGGCCGTCGTGGGCGCCTCCGAGGCCGTCCTGGAGCCCTCTTGGGCCGCGCGGGGCCCTCCCGCGGGGCCTCTTGGGGCCGTTCTGGGGCTGTCCTGGGGGCCTCCTGGGCCGTCTTGGAGCGTCGGGAGCTCGAGAGGTCGAGGACCCCAAGGATGAAGGAAAAACACATGGAGCATCGATGATGTCCGCCTCTCCGGGCCCTCTTGGGAAGGCAAATGGGACACTTCTTGGGGCGTCTCGGAGGCTTCTTGGACCGTCTTGGAGCCATCTTGGGCCTCGGGGGGCCATCTTTAGGCGTCTCGGGGCCCTCTTGTACCGTCTTGGGGGCCTCTTGGGGCCCTCTTGGCCCGTTTGGGGGCCTTCTTGTGTCCGAAAAATTCAAGCGACAAGCCCCGAGAAGACGCGGCAAGCCCCGCGAGAATTGAGAATTGCGTCTCCGGGCCCCTAGGAGATTCCTCAGGAGTGAGGATTGAGGCTCAGAGGGTGAGGCAAAGGACCTGAGGACACGCCCACTCCGTGCCCAGCGGCACTGTGGCGGATGTTCATTCGACCACAGTCATTGCCACTCTTGTCTGCAGATTGGCCATCTGGCCAGCGTGTGCCCCCACAGGGCGGAAGAAGGACTGATCAAGGCTTGAGGTGCGTGTACATAGAGAGTTTCTGAGGCGTTGCGCGAACGAGTCTACTTGAGTACCTCAACGACTCTCAGGGATCACCCCGGGGAGTAATGATCTAAGCGGTCGCCCCGCAAAACAACAGAGATCCATGCCAATCCGCTGAAAGCCACCTCAGGCAACGCGTAGCACATCTCATCAGCGTAATTCGGCCCGCACGCTCAGTGTCGCTTCATTCCTTCACTGTAGAATTGATATCTAACCGCTTGCGGCAAACCCCGCAAGCGTGAAAGTTAAGTGGCAGGAGACAGGTATTTAGATGTTTGAAAGAGCGTGTTCTACCGCTGCTGGCGGAAAACCGGGGGGGGTCACTACCGGTTCGAACCCCTCCCCCCCCCCCTCCGGAAAACCGGGGGGGGTCACTACCGGTTCGAACCCCTCCCCCCCCCCCAGTTCATCATGAAAAGGGGGGGGGGTCACTACCGGTTCGAACCCCCCCCCCCTCGAAAACCGAGTGGGGGTGCGGACAGTGGTGGGGACGGTGTTGGTGGGGACAGTGGTGAGGGGACAGCGGGACAGTGGTGGGGACAGTGGGACAGTGGGACAGTGGGGGACGGTAGTGGTGGGGACAGTGGTGGGGACAATGGTGGGAACAGGGGGGACAGTGGACAGTGGTGGGGACGGTGGTGGTGGGGACAGTGGTGGTGAGGACAGTGGGAATGAGGTGGAAACAGTGGGATAGTGGAGGGTACAATGGTGGTGGGGACAGTGGTAAAGGCGGTGGCGAGGACGGCGGTGGGACAATGGGACAGAGGTACAGTGGGGACAGTGGTGGGGACAGTGGGGACAGTGGTGGGAACAGTGGGACAGCTCAGTGGGACAGCGGAGGAGTCAGTGGGACAGTGGGGACAGTGGGGATAGGCAGTGGTTGGGTCCGTGGAGACAGTGGGGAGAGTGGAACCGTGGTGGGAACAGTGGTGGGAACAGTGGGGACAGTGCGACAGTGGTGGGGGCACTGGTGGGGACAATAGGGACGGTGGTGGAACCAGTGGGGACAGTGGTGGTGAGGACAGTGGTGCTGGGAACAACAGTGGGGGATGTGATGCGAGCGGTGGTAGGGACCGGGAGTCGTTTGCTGGCGGTGCGTGGGGGGGGGGGGGTCGAACCGGTAGTGACGCCCCTCCGGTTTTCGAGGGGGGGGGAAGGGGGGGGGGGGTTCCAACCGGTAGTGACCCCCCCCGGTTTTCCGGATCCGGAGGGGGGGGGGGGAGGGGTTCGAACCGGTAGTACCCCCCCCCAGGGGTTAGGGGAGGGGGGGGTTTTGCCGGGGGGGAAAGAGGGGGGGGGGTCCAGCAGGGGGGGGGGGGGGGGATTTTCGGAGGGGGGGGCGGAGACCCTCGGGTTCCGGAGGAAAAGGTTAGCAATTTTCCACAGTAAAGCGGCGCTCTCTCAGATGTTGAGACCAGTTTCCTGCCTGGACTGGAGCGGGTCTGAAGCACCCTCTCTGTATCAGCAGCTTCTCTGAATTCTGGGTTCTAGTATGATTGTTACGGTAGTTTCGCGTCGTGTCGACCAGCGGCGACCCCGCCGCGGGCGTTCAAGGTTGAACGCCGCCAGTGGCCCAGAATCGGCCTACATGGAACGATCGGGCGATCGGAAAGCCGCCGATCGTTCAAGGTTGGACGATCGACGCGGTGTCGGAAACCAACGCTTGGGTCGCCACGACACGAACTTGCCGTACAGTCGGGCCGTTGAAGAAGGAATTCGTGTTGTCGGAGAGGGGTTCAGTACTCCTTTAGTGTCTTACAGTTTGTCTTTGGTGTTCTATGGGAAATCGAAGTTTAACTTATGGAAAAAAAGGGCTTCGTTCCTTTTTTAGGGTTCCTTATGACAGCATTTTGACTTTTCCCTAGCAGTGTTTGCGCTTAGGGGTTCTTACTGCGGACCTCTGGGCCTGTGGGCCGCTCTGGCCGCCACGTGGCCGCCGTCGTTGCCGCCGTTGCCGCCCGCAGCCTCGTCGTCGCCCGTCGCCGCGTGGCCTTGCATTGCTTGACATGTCTTCGAATTGCGTTGCGTTGCGTTGCATTCCTCTGCGGGGCACTTTTTCGCACCGCCTTGCGCTGCCTTGCTCCGTGCCATATAGATTGCGCACCACATGGATGACACCGCCTGGACTGCACCACATTGATTGCACCACCCAGATCGCACCACATAGACTGCAAGACCTCATTGGTTGGGGTCCACGCTGGCCGACATTCACAGTACCAATATTGCGATCAGTTTTACAATGGTGTTCGCCGTGCACTGTTAGTATCATCGTGATGATCAGTCGCCGTTCTAAGTAGTATAGTATTGTTCCTCCTCCTCCTCCTCCTCCTCCTCCTCCTCTTGACCCTTCTTTTGCCTCCCCCTCCCCCTCCCTTTGAAAGACACACTGGAGGCTTCCTCTGGGTGTGGCTCGTGGGTCGTCGTCCTCCACTTGGCTCCACGCACGCACGCACGCACGCACGCACGCACGCACGCACGCACACACACACGCACGCACACACACACACACACACACACACACACACACACACACACACACGCACACGCACACGCACACGCACACGCACACGCACACGCACACACATATACATCTATATCTCATGTGTATGTATTCATACAATGTTATACCGATGCGTCTACAGATGTATGTGTAAATACGTTTATTTTACATCTATATAGAGACACACACACACACCCCTCGCCCCCAAGCCCCCACCCACCCACCCACCCTTGCCCTATCCATCCCAGGGCCCCCTGGCCCCTGCCCCCCTGGCCCGGGCACCCACCGCGAGCGCGGGTGGGCGCACCCATGCGCCCACGGCGTGCGCGGGCGGAGGCGCCCAGGCACACGCGGCGCGCGTGGGCGCCCGCGCCCGAGATGACAGCCCGAGTTGACCCCCCCCCCCCGAGCTGGCCGCGCGAAATCACCGACCAAGTGGACCGGGCGAGTGGACCGGCCGAAGTGATCGGCCGAGTCGATCGGCCGAGTTGGTCGGCCAAGTGGCTCGGTCCGTGGTTCGTCGGCCTCCCTCCCCGGCCCTCCCCTATGGGGCACCCTAGCCTGGCCTACGCCCCCCTCCCCCCTCGCCCAGACGACTTCACGATTTTGCGCAGCCATGTTCTGGAGCTCGGACCTCTTCTTGTTTTCTCGCTCGTTCGTTCGCTCGTGGTCGTCTGTCCTCGCCCACCTCCCTGGCCCTCTCTGCCCCATGGCCTGCCCCTGTCTCAGGCCGCGGCCCTCTCCCACCCGGTCCAGGGCCGCGCCTTCCAGAGCCCCCCGTCCCCACCCCCCGACCTCCGGCCAGGGCCCCCCCCCCAGTGCCCCCCCCCCCCCCCCCCCCCCGACCATTTGTTTTTCGCTCTTTCGGTCGTTCACTCGCGTGTCCTCGCTCCGCCCCTCTGCCCCATCTGGCCCGCCCCCCACCTCAGGCCGTGGCCCTCCCGCCCCTGGTCCAGGGCCACGCCGACCTGCCCCCCGTCTCCACCCCCATCCCCCTGGCCTAGGCCTGCCCCCAGTGCTCCCCGACCGTTCAGCTGTTGTTTTTTCGCTCGCTCGACGTCGCTCGTGGGTGGTAGTTCGTCCTCGCCCCTCCCCCCACACCCGCCCCATCTACCCTTCCCCAGGGCCACGCCCCTTTGCCCCCCCGTCCTCAGGCCTGGGCCACCCCTAGTGCTCCCCGACCTTTTGCATTCATTCGCTCGCTCGTTCGTTCGTTCGTGGTCCCCTCCCTGCCACTGGCCTGTCCCCCTCAGGCCGTGGCCCTCTCCCCCCTGGTCCAGGGCCACGCCCGCTTGACCACCATGCCCCCCCCCCCTGGCCCCTGGCCCCTGACCCGCTCTTTTCGTTCTCGTTTGTGGTCGTTCATGGTCGTTCGTCCTCCCCCCGCCCTCTCCCCCCTGCCCCCCGTCCCCACCCCCCCTGCCCCAGGGCCTGCCCCCCTCATGGCCCCCGACCCTTTAGTTTAGGGGCTCGACCACAAGAAGCCTTCCACAAGAAACTCAGACCTGAGCCTGAGACCCCATGACGTTCATGAATTTTCGGCGTGGGAACATCACACTTCCCATGGCAAAGCCATCGAAACCCAAGAAACCCAGGGCACCCTGGAGGCAAGCAGGGTGTTTCGTGGCGTGGGTCCCCACTATAGTGTCGCTCGTCCGTTCGGTCGGGGTTGTTCGTCCTCGCCCCCCGCCCCTCCGCCGCTGGCGTGCCCAACCCCTCCGGCCGTGGCCCTCTCGCCCCTCGGCCAGGGCCACTCCCCCCTGCCCTGCGGCCCCCCCCGACCCTTTCTTTGCGTTCGTGAGCGATCACTCGTCGCGCCCCCTCCCCCCGACCCTTCTTCTCGCTCGTGCGTGATCGCTCGTCCTGGTCCTGCCCCCCCCCCACCCCACCCCCGCTCCCGCCCTGGCCTGCCCCCCGTCAGGCCGTGACCCTCTCCCCTCTGGCCAAGGGCCACGCCCACCTGCCCCCCGTCCCCGCCACCCTCCCTCTGGCCAGGGCCAGGGCCTGCCCCCAGCGCCCTCCGACCTCTGTATTCTCGTGGACAATTGTGCTCTGTCGTCGTTCGTCCCCCCTCCTCTGGCCGAACCCCTGGCCCTGGCCTCAGTCCCCTATTTGCCCCCGGAGCCCTTTACGTTCGTGGTGGGCGTCGTTCGTCCCGCTACCCCTGCCTGCACCTGGCCTTCGCCCCGGCCCCCCCTCGCGACCTGGTGTTTGCCAAGGGCCAAGGCCTGTGTGCCACCACTGTCCTCCGTGGTGTGTGGCTCGTCGTCGTTCAGGGCTGGTCATGCCCTGCCCTCTCCTCGGTTCCAGCCTGCCCCTTCTCCCCCCCCTGGACCTCTTTCTCATCTTGTACTGCTGTGTCATACAGCTCGCAGCCCGTTCTTCTCGTCGGTCGTCGTTCGTCGTCGTCCGCCTCCCTGGCCATCTCGGACCTCCCTGACATCAGGCCCTCCATGCCGGCCCCGACAGACCCCAAGAGACCCCGAGGTAGCCCCGAGAGAGCCGCACGAGAGCCGCACGAGAGGCCAGAACAGCTACGAGAAAGCTACAGGGGTGGCCCCGACAGAACCTCCCCCCCCCCTCTCTCCTCGCCCCGCCCCCGTGCGAGAGCCAGGGCGCGCGTGCGACTCTTGTTCTCCGGCACCGTCGCCCTTGGCCGCCCGAGCTCCTCCCAGCACTCCCCCCGCCCGTCGGCACCGGCACCCCCCCTGTCCCGCCACGAAGCGGGCGGGTCCGGAGGAAGAGCGGGCCCTGAGGCTCTTTCTCCCCTGTGGTCGGGCACCCGGGGCCACCCGTCCCTCTGCGCAATGCAGCGCATGAGATCAGTCCTCCACCCGTGCTCGACATCGTCTGAAACTCCTCGAGTCCTTCCGCCCTCCCCCCGCCGCCGCCGCGCTTGCCTCCACAAGCGATCCGGCGTCCCGTGATTGGCCCCGTGCGTTATTCCGCCCGCTCTCTGTTCCATCCCGCGCTGAGCCCCACGCGAATGTCGCCCCTTGTCTTGAATGTTCTCCCCACTGCTGCCCCCTTGCGCAGTTCCGCGCGCGGTTCCGCTCCCCTGGTCTGGCTGCCTGCGGCAAATCCCTGCCACCGCGCCAGCGCATCTGAGTAGCAGGAAGAAGGTTGAGTTCGAGGCCCGTCCCATGGCAGTGCCTCTCTGGGGCTCAGCACGGGTCCTGATCACCCCCTCTTTTCCATTCCCTTCGCGGTTCCTGCCTTTGTCCACCTTGGTGACTCATTCGGGGCCTCTTGGGGTCCGTTGGGGAGCTTCGGGGCCCCGTTGGGGGCCCATCACGGGTCTCGGAGCCGCTTGGGGCGCGACAGTTCGACCGATCTCTCCCCAGTAGGTTGTTGTTGAACTCAGCTGGGGAGGTGTTGGCGGGTCTTGGGGCTGCATTGGCGCCGTCTTTTTGGGCCGTCTTGAGTTGTCCTCGGGGCGTCATGAGGGCCTTTCTGGGGACCATTGTCAGGCCCAGTCCAAGCCCTCTGGAGCTGCAGAGCCTTGGAGGCAACAAGACATAACATCGCAGTGTGCATGGTAGTTGTTTCCTCGCGGGAGGCCTCCTTGGACGTTCCTGTGGTGCTCTTTTGGGGCACATGTTGAGCATAACGGGAGCATCTTGGAGCCTCGGGTGCCTCGCGGGGCCGCCTCGTGCTGGCTTTCAGGCATGCTCCAGCCGTCGTGTAGCGATCGTGGGCCGCCCTCGACGCAAAGGGCACGAGAGCAGAACTGGGCGACGAGATGCAGACGTCGTCTGCTGGTAGGGGGTGGGCCTTGAGGGGACCCTCCCAACGAGACCAGACAGCCAACCAGCGTTTTAATACTTCACTATCGCGCAAACGCAAATGGCACGAGAGCAGAACTACGGGACGAGATGCAGACGTCGTCTGCTGGTAGGGGGTGGGCCTTGAGGGGCCCTCCCAACGAGACCAGACAGCCAACCAGCGTCCTAATACTTCGCTGGCGCGCAAACGCAGTGGCGGAGGTGTCGGTCCGCGCCCGAGTCGCCCCACTGCTGTGGATTCCGCATGCTTGCATGCCACGCGATTGAGTAAGCAGTGCATTGCAATCTGTGCTTGGGAAGTTGTCATATCATATCTCGTATTGTCCAGTGGCATTCACAGCAGGGCTGCCAATGGAACCATGTGCGCCAGGTTATACACATTGCTCAGTTCTAAGTATTCGAGAGTTCTTTGATTTTTTGGGGGGCAAGATCCTTTCATTTCTAATTGTTCTATCGTGGGCCTCTTCCTAGCCACTGGGGGGCCAGGAACAATTCGAAGCGAGCACAATTAGAAATGAGCACGATTAGACATGAACGACGTGTACGCATAACAGCGTGGTGTAATTGTTGCCGACAGTAATGTGCGGCCCCGCTGTTGCTCCCGTAACGAAACACAGCCGACAGTGCAGTCACAGTCCGCGCAAGCATGCGGAGTTCGAGTTCATTCTGGGTGGAACGCAAGCAGCATGTTTCCAAATACGGGTGCAAGCAGTACCACATCGAGATCGCTCGCATGATGCATTACCAGGGCGGGACGAAGCGCGTAAGCAACTGCGGCCAGAATCAGCAGGTGATTGAGCATGCAGGTTCATGAGAACGCACATTTGGATTCCGCACTCGTGCTACAGTAGATGTTATTCCGCCCCCACCCCCTGGTCCTCAATGGGCTGAATATCGCCCACCGTCTCACTCATGCAAGTTACATGTGCGATGCCATGATCAGTACGTTACAACCCCTGTGCTTATCACTTGCGCTCGGTTCGGTATACTTTTTAGTCAGCG